AGAATGTGAAGAAGTGTTAAATAAAAAAGAAAATATATTTTTTAATTAACCAAAAAACTCGACAAAGGCAATAAGAGCCCAGCGTGATGTTTGACCGCTAAATTTAATTCAATTTCGAATACAATAACGACGAACGTTTCGACCCTTTTTTGGGGTCCTCCTCAGCGCAATGATTAACAAAATTTTACATAAGTATGGTAAGAAACAACCTTAACGCCGCAAACATCAAGTCAAACGATAATTAGGGCGGATGTGCACTCCGACACGTTCCAAAGCATCGTCGTGTAATTTCCTGGTTGAAGTGCCAGAAAATTTGAACTGCAGAATGTCGTTTGTCATTGTGTAGCGATACCTGTGGACATCCGGAGTACCATCCACTCACAAAAAATGCAAGAGTTAACAAAAAGAAAAAGATCAAAAGCAACTCACAGATTTAAAGTCAACAATAAAGTCAAGTCGCAATGCTCGTCAGTCGGTTATAAAACTTATTGTTTTATGATGAGCGGTGAAGTGGATGTGTCTTACAAGCCGTTTCAACTGACAGTGACACGCACGATTCGACAATGTTATCAACTATACATACGGTGAGAGGTCAAGTTACAAATACCAATAATATAATGTCAAATTCTCGCAAGTCCCTACAATAACATTTACGTCACTTTACAAATACCAACAGTGTAATGTCAAATCTTCGCAAGTCCTTCGATAACATTAACATATGTTTCCGGTAAATTTTCCGTATCCGTCTGCAAATTAAGGCCATCTTTTTGTCTTTTGATATAAATCATTTCGGAAATCAAGCGTTTGCTTAGCGACGGTTCTTGGTCTAATATTTTAACATCATTCCACTTAAACTCATGTTTATGTTCTAATCTGTGATCCGTTATGACTGAATGTCCCGTACAATTCCTTCTAATATGCGAATCATGTTCCTTGATCCTCGTTAGTAATTGTCTCCCCGTCTGACCAACATAAGATGCCTCACAATCCCCACAGTCAATCTTATACACAACTTTCCTATGTGATGTACTCGGGAGAGTATCTTTGTGTACCCTGATATATCTATTCAGTTTATTTAAACTGAAGTACGAGAGTTTTACATTTAGATCTTTAGTTAAATTCTTATATTTTTCAGTCAACTGAGGGACATAGGGTATCGTGAAATAAGGAACCCTATCTATCGAGTTCTCGTCGTCATTATTGCAGCTATTGGAAAAAAGAAATTTTAATCGTTCCTGCATTACCTTAAAAATAAATTCTAACGGGTAGCAATTTTGTAACAAAATATGAATCACTAATTTAAGGTTTTTTTCGTGAAATTTAGGATGCGACAGCTTGAATACTCGATCTATTAAACAAATGACTGTTCCTTTCTTCTGGCAATGGGGATGCTGGGACAAAAAATTTAGATATCTCCCGGAGAAGGTAGATTTGTGGAACCAATCGAATTGCAAACGATTTTCAGTCCGGATCATCGTTATCTCTAAAAAATTCAACCTGCCATCCACACCCACCTCCATGGTAAATTGCAATCTCGGGTGAAAAGAATTGAATACCTCTAAAGTGTGAGTGCATTCAGTAGAAGGTATTGCCATTGCAATATCATCCACATATCTCTCATAGAAAGGTGGAGTGAAACTCAACAACTCAAGTGCCCTTTCCTCAAGATCCTGCATCACTATGTCCGCCCCTATGGGAGACAACGGGGAGCCCATGGGTGATCCGAAAGTCTGTTGGTATATTACGCCATTAAACATAAAAAAGGTTGATTCTAATACCATTCTGACAGCCAGAAGAAACTCCGATTCCGGGATCTTGCAATTGTCGGCAATGTATTTCCATCTCGATGAAATACTGTCGATAACCCTTTCGATAGGAACATTAGTAAAAAGGGAAACCACATCAAGTGATACAAGTGTGTGATCCTCCATGATATGAACGTTGGAAAGTTTTTTAACTAATTCTACACTGTTCGCAATGTGACTCTTTCCTTTTGGGAAGCTACTATACATAATCTTGTGGAGAAATGAAGCTAAATTGTATAAAGGACTATCTATTGACGAAACAATTATTCTGAAAGGACAATTCTTTTTATGTATCTTGGGTAGTCCGTATGCTCTCGGTAATGTCCCATCACTACAGTACAGAAATCTATAAAGAGACTCTGATATGAAATCTGATTTCTTCCATCTCGTTAAAAGTTCCCGAGCTCGCGTTGTTAATTTTCTAGTGGGATCTTTAGTAACTACCTTGTATGTTTCTTTATCACCCAGTAATTCCTCCATCTTGGTTATGTATTTATCCCTATCGAGTGCTACCGTTACGTTTCCTTTATCCGCCCTTGTTAGCAACAAGTTGGGATTGTCTTCTAAAAAATTCTTAGTGACAATGGACAGATTTTTCATCATATTGTTATGTGCGCTTTTTTGTATAGTGTAATTCTGGAGGCTGTTTACTACATTTGAAAACCGGTTTCTGAGTGTGGCGTGTGTTCTAACGGGAAATTTTTTTACATTATTTTCAATATTTTTAATGAATTCTATAGTGACTTTTTCTTTATTCACCCCGGGAAGGCTAAAATTTTCTCCTAGCTGTAACAAGCCTTGAATATTCTCAGGTATGACTGTGGATGACAGGTTGACAAACCATTTTTCATTAAGCTGCGTTAATGTAGGTTTACTTGATGTGGTTTCCCTTTTTACTAATGTTCCTATCGAAAGGGTTATCGACAGTATTTCATCGAGATGGAAATACATTGCCGACAATTGCAAGATCCCGGAATCGGAGTTTCTTCTGGCTGTCAGAATGGTATTAGAATCAACCTTTTTTATGTTTAATGGCGTAATATACCAACAGACTTTCGGATCACCCATGGGCTCCCCGTTGTCTCCCATAGGGGCGGACATAGTGATGCAGGATCTTGAGGAAAGGGCACTTGAGTTGTTGAGTTTCACTCCACCTTTCTATGAGAGATATGTGGATGATATTGCAATGGCAATACCTTCTACTGAATGCACTCACACTTTAGAGGTATTCAATTCTTTTCACCCGAGATTGCAATTTACCATGGAGGTGGGTGTGGATGGCAGGTTGAATTTTTTAGAGATAACGATGATCCGGACTGAAAATCGTTTGCAATTCGATTGGTTCCACAAATCTACCTTCTCCGGGAGATATCTAAATTTTTTGTCCCAGCATCCCCATTGCCAGAAGAAAGGAACAGTCATTTGTTTAATAGATCGAGTATTCAAGCTGTCGCATCCTAAATTTCACGAAAAAAACCTTAAATTAGTGATTCATATTTTGTTACAAAATTGCTACCCGTTAGAATTTATTTTTAAGGTAATGCAGGAACGATTAAAATTTCTTTTTTCCAATAGCTGCAATAATGACGACGAGAACTCGATAGATAGGGTTCCTTATTTCACGATACCCTATGTCCCTCAGTTGACTGAAAAATATAAGAATTTAACTAAAGATCTAAATGTAAAACTCTCGTACTTCAGTTTAAATAAACTGAATAGATATATCAGGGTACACAAAGATACTCTCCCGAGTACATCACATAGGAAAGTTGTGTATAAGATTGACTGTGGGGATTGTGAGGCATCTTATGTTGGTCAGACGGGGAGACAATTACTAACGAGGATCAAGGAACATGATTCGCATATTAGAAGGAATTGTACGGGACATTCAGTCATAACGGATCACAGATTAGAACATAAACATGAGTTTAAGTGGAATGATGTTAAAATATTAGACCAAGAACCGTCGCTAAGCAAACGCTTGATTTCCGAAATGATTTATATCAAAAGACAAAAAGATGGCCTTAATTTGCAGACGGATACGGAAAATTTACCGGAAACATATGTTAATGTTATCGAAGGACTTGCGAAGATTTGACATTACACTGTTGGTATTTGTAAAGTGACGTAAATGTTATTGTAGGGACTTGCGAGAATTTGACATTATATTATTGGTATTTGTAACTTGACCTCTCACCGTATGTATAGTTGATAACATTGTCGAATCGTGCGTGTCACTGTCAGTTGAAACGGCTTGTAAGACACATCCACTTCACCGCTCATCATAAAACAATAAGTTTTATAACCGACTGACGAGCATTGCGACTTGACTTTATTGTTGACTTTAAATCTGTGAGTTGCTTTTGATCTTTTTCTTTTTGTTAACTCTTGCATTTTTTGTGAGTGGATGGTACTCCGGATGTCCACAGGTATCGCTACACAATGACAAACGACATTCTGCAGTTCAAATTTTCTGGCACTTCAACCAGGAAATTACACGACGATGCTTTGGAACGTGTCGGAGTGCACATCCGCCCTAATTATCGTTTGACTTGATGTTTGCGGCGTTAAGGTTGTTTCTTACCATACTTATGTAAAATTTTGTTAATCATTGCGCTGAGGAGGACCCCAAAAAAGGGTCGAAACGTTCGTCGTTATTGTATTCGAAATTGAATTAAATTTAGCGGTCAAACATCACGCTGGGCTCTTATTGCCTTTGTCGAGTTTTTTGGTT